AAGAGCTGACAGCAGACGTCGCACAGAGGCAAATACTTTTGGTACATGTTCAAGGTAGAGAAAATGGCACGAAACTTTTCTTGAAGCAATAATGGTATCTGGAATTAAGGGCATAACGAATTATAAGCTCACATAAACAGGAGGTTATTATCAGAACTTGACCAAAGAAAAGTGGTCGAGTCTGGATTTAATCCATATTAGATGAAACACAATAATCAAATTGAAGAGTTAGAAAGGGCTATATTTCGATTTCAAAAAAGCAGATACTCATTGCCATCGTCATCATCATCGTCGCTGCTATTATTAATCACCTCACCACACCCCTTCCATTTGGCCTCTAGTGCACGAGTCATCGCAGGCCTGCGGCTCTCTTTTGTTTCCCATAGTTCCAGCGGACCGTCTTTCGCTCTATGAACCAACAAATTTTTAACTTCCGACTCCTTGACGCTTTTTATCAAGCTCTCAAAGACTTTGGTGAGCCGTAGGAGAACCTTTTCGTTTTCCATTTCCCAAGCATCAATCCTTTCCTTCATCGGCATGACCAGAATGTGATCTCGGTCGAAGAACCCGTCGTCATGATAACCAACGACAAAATTTGGAATCTGACGCGCCCATAAGCGTGGTAGAGATTCAGGCATACTTATTTCCCTCCTGCGGATACGGGTTTTCACGTCAAATACGGCGGACTGTGGCACATCAAATCCGGCATGTTGGAGCTTCAAAGTCGCGGTATTCCCAGAACCTATTTTCCCAATTGTGACGGATTCTGTATTTTGAGAAAGGACATCCATGTCACTGAGTCCTTTCTGGCTTGTTGGCGTCTTCTTTTCTTGCGTTTTCACCTCGATCCCTATCATCCCACCCAAATACCCATCTGCTTCAAAGCGGACGAGGAAGGTGAGGCCGCCAAATTCGTAACGAATGATTCGTTGGTTGGTTGCTGAGCCTTTCACACTTTTATGCCAACTGGTATATGCTTCAGGGAATGTGTGTCCATATCCGTAGACACCTTGGATCAGCTCCTTGGGCGTACGTTCCTTACGCACCAAGAAAAGAGTGTCCCCCACTCGATGGACAAAGCACTGGAACTCCCATTCGGCTGACGAGGCAAATTTGAAAAGACATCCCATCATTCCGGCACAGGTAACGATGTTGATCGTTTTACCGTTAAATTTGGGATTCCGATCGAATACAGCTCGGATTGCAGGCTCGATTGGGTATTTCGGCCATCTCGCGCTGTTTGGCTCCCGAAAGTAATCGCCTGCGTCTTCTTTGAGCTGCACGCCCCCTCTCAACGGAGTCCACTTCGGGGGCGCTCCTGAAATGAATTTAACCCCTAGGAGTCAGTGATATGAGCACAAAGCAACTGGGAATTTACCGACCTGGGATTAGTATAGTTGGTATCTTGCTATCCAACCAATTATACGATCCGACCAATTCGGTTCCTGTGATTCTCGGGGATTGAGTTCCGACGCTGGCTGATGTATCAACGGTTATCGAGGCGACTAATGTGCCACTGGGTTGATCAAGGGGAGGTGGTTTTTCTACTTTACCCATCGCCGTGTACTGAACAACTCTGTTAGGCTGCCAGGTTCTGGTCGTGCCACTCACAGCAGATTTTGCTCCCATTCCTCTTCTATTCCTGATCCCTCCCCAGTCGAAACTCTCTCTTGGATCTGCCATGTTTCCTGCAGTGGTAGCTCATATATATAGGTTTTTTTTTTGGCTTTATCACTTTGAGCTGTGAAAGAAGAAAGCCCTTTGAGGCACGCAGCCAGCGCAAGTGTCCCTTTCTATCCTTGCACATACTTCCCGCGGCCACTAAATCATGGACACGAATTTTCTTATAGCCTTGTGACAAGAGGCTTTATTGAGATGCGCTACAGACCACTCAATTCACTGCCACTTCGTGTGTCTGAGCGCTGTTGCATACAGGAGGCCTCAAACAGTTTTTCTTGCGAATAGAGATATATCCGTATATTGGCGGCTGCCAACGGCTGGTTCTAATTGGCTGCTTGTAGGTGCCGCGTTTGGATGGGTGACTCGCATCGCCTATGGAGAACTAGAGGTTGCTGCTCTGCTTCACTTCTTTGCAGTTTGGCGGTCCGGGATATAATTGGACGTTTGAAAGCCTGTGGGATATACGCATGACTGACTGACACTAACACTCCTGCTCTAGCACGGGGAAGAGACCGTACTGGAAACTGACAGCCTTGGAAGACATGGATAATTCATGGAATCTTTGGGTTATTTTACCTTATGGCAGGCAGATGGGCGCTTTTACATGAAGATACAGTATTATTTCGATGCCAGCCTGACAATTCCGTGGCTCTACTGGATTGAAGCCTGCACCCTTGTCGATTTATTTCAGTTGCCTAAATGTACGACCTGTGAAGGAAGGGTTCGGAAAATATTGTTTCTATTTCTTGATTTGCTAGGTTAAATTCGGGCTCACAATAGAATTCGATAAAATGAATTATCTAGCATTTTTTGAGGCTTAACAACATTCCGGAACATTTCTCGTGGCTGTCCTTCCCGACCTATTGCTCTAGTTAACCAAGACTATGACTATTTTTGGAGCTATGGGAGATAATTTTCACAAATACGTTACGGAAGCATAGCTTGTTACTGCTCCAGTAAACGTTGAAAATGGAAGAAAGTTGCCCTTCGGCCTGGAAGACACATATTAGTTGAACGGTGAATTGATCTAATTTCTGTGAGGATCTCGTTGCCTTTCCATTCTGGGGATAGGCGGAGATGTTGACCCCGCAAGGCTATCACCACATTCCAACAGCGGGTAACCAGAGCAAGCGAAATGATGTATTTACGCCACGTCAACTTCATTTAACGCCTATTGGACCCCTGCAGGCATGGGCGTTCTAAAACCCTTGCTTGCCCGCGAGACCCGGGCCTATGTGGTATCGAGGATATCTTCAAATCCGACAAAGCCGATTGCGAGCTTCCCTAAGAGGTATTGAGACATTATTACCTCCGTGAAACCTGAGATACATTTTGGAGAAGAACGAGGAAACACGGTTTGAAATGCCTAATTGAAATCGTCGAGGAAAGCAAAGGAGAAGAATAAACGCGATCGGGAAGAAATGAAACCGACCAACGAAACTCCACGAAGAAGCTCGCCTAAAAGTCTGCTCAAGAATGTCTTGCGATTAGTCCACGGCCAGAACACTGGAAGCAGCTTGTAGTGAGAAAGGAGAAGAGGCTAAAGTGCAGCATAGACTGTATGGGTGATGGGAGTTTCATCCATGAGCTTTTGAATGGATTGAGCAAGTTGATAGATATCGCGGTGCAGACAAGCTGATGCAAATCTCAGACCTCCCCCTCAACCAGTTCGATACGCTCAGCCTGCCTCATATTTTGTTGGAAGCATCGAATTGCAACTGAAGCGAATCGAGTGTCTGGGGAAAGCTCCCTACCCTACCTCCCCAGTATCATAAGCAGCCTTTCCCGCACTTGCTAAGTCCTCTTGTAATCTACGACGAGGAGTATAATCTGTCTCTAGGAATTATAGGGAAGGAAATTTAACAATAATAAAACAAAATTGCTCTTTCCATCTCCCCCGACAAACAAGTTATTGAAGGCCATCAGCCCCAACAAGCTTTGCGCGCCCGTTCAATATCTGGACTCGGCCCGAGACTGTGCTTAGCCGAGTTCGGGATTAGAGCCGATGCCGAACTCAGCAATCAATTCTCCAGAATGACATTCGAACTATTCTCCCGTTCCATGAGTTACACAATGTCCTGGTGTTTCTAATTTGTCGTCTGTCCTAAATTCTTCGTCACCAACGAAGATGTGAGGGGTTGGAAGGCTCAGCTGAAGGGTGAGCATCATCTGAGTTGGTCAATGGGCTGTTTATCTCCTGAATGACTTTCTTGTTCCACATTCGTGCATAGCGTGCTTCTCTTCCGAAGGGCCAAATGGTAGTGTTTAAGGTGTGGCCACTCACAGTTTAATGATATATGATATTCTGGTGCAACTGTTTAGCAGATTCTATTGGCTGATCAGAGCTATACAGTATGGGTGTGGCTACGTACCCTTGTGATACTTGCACTTATTCTGCTACGGGTTACTTCTTAGAACCCATGATGAATGTTCCTCATTTCTTCAAATGTCAATAGGGCATTTTCTGTCCTCTTGATGCTTTCAGCACTGCTTTTGCATCGTCTATTTTCGCCTTTTTGTGAGATCATTGACTGATCCCGCACCTCCGTTCCTTCCCAATTCCTCCCCACTATGCAGATATGTCCATATATCTTTATATATATTTGAAATATATATTGTCAGAGTTCTTCTCTGTGACACTCCAACTTTGCGAACCTTGCAGCAGTACCTATAGTCATTATAATCTTGCCAGCGATGCACTCTATTCTTGGGGTAGCAGCAGTGATATCCTTCATCTTCGTAAACCCCCCTTTCGTCCTCGCGAACCCGCTCCCAATACCATTTCCACAGGAACAAACTACCAATGCATCTTGTGCAGCCATAACGATAATTGCAGCGCGCGGCACTAGCGAAGATCCCGGCGAGGGCCGCCTAACCACCGTCACCAGAGACATTGCCAATGGACACGAGAACAGCGAACGCATCGCGCTCGATTACCCAGCAGAGTTATTTCCGTACTCCGTCTCCTTATACAGGGGGATCCAAGCTTTAACTGGCCTTCTAAACACATCTGCATCAAGTTGTCCGGAGACTAAGATTGTCCTGTTGGGGTATTCGCAGGGGGCGCATGTTATTGGCAATACGTTGTGTGGCGGGGCCTTTGCGGAGCAGGGGATTGATCAGAGGATTGCCGAGAAAGGTATGCGATTGATATGCTATTTGTTGTTGTTGTTGCTTGCGGAAGTTTACAACCCGTGAGGTGAGGATGGGCGAATGGGGATGAAGAAGCGCGAGCCGGGGAGAGCATTAGATTATGGTTATGATATAAAACACGTGTTTGGCATTCTTTACTCAACACCCCAATTCTCTTGAAATCCTTTGTAGTATCTGCGATCATTTTCATGGCTGATCCGCGCCATGTGCCTGGCAAATCGTTCGATGTTGGCACCTCAACCAGAAACGGTGTAAGTTCCTTTCCTCTTCTGCTGCTTTAAAGAAGATATGCCATTTAAAAAATACAATTGTCTTATCCATTGCCAATTACCCATCACCACACTAAAAACAAGAATATCGTCCAGCTCCTGCCGCGCCCGGATTCCGAATCCTGTGACGAATTTGCTTCCCGCATGCGATCCTACTGCGACTCGGGGGACCCGGTGTGTGACAGCGGCTTTGACAGGGAGGTTCATAGGGCTGTTGTAGAGAAGTATCGTGCGAACGCTGTTGCGTTCGTGATTGGGCTGCTTGCTGATCTATGCGTTTGACGTTTGGTAGACATGGCGGTCTCTTAGAGCTAGCCGTGGAATATTGCAAATCATGGCCTTTCGATTTTGTTTTACCCTTCGCAATTTTCCTATCCGTGGTTGTTTGGAGGGCTGGGTATGTGCGTTGAGAACGACATTCTATGCGAATATTCGGTTGGAGGCATGGACCTAGACAGATATTGCGTAGGATGAAACAATGGGGGAGAGAATGTTGTTATGTATGAAAGCTATGGTCTATATTCTATATTCTATTATCCTCAACATTAAAACAAAGCCACAAAAGAAACCCCAAACAATCGGAAATATTAAAAATGAGAGGGGGAATGGAGAAGAAATAATGAGAAAAAAGGATTAAAGGCGCAGAATGTTCCCAAAACGCCAAATATTAAGTCCTCTCTGTGAGGCGTATCGGATATTGTACAGGTGCATGTTCACTTCCAACGTCTCATGCGGGCTCTCTTCACATACACGCCAAGTCCGGCCCTGAGGCCTATTTCTATTACTCTAGTTGTATCTTTGCAAGTGAAAATAGATAAAATTCAACTGCTATCGCAACCTCGTCTCGGAATCGATACCGGTGGCATCTGGGGGAGCGCTCGTCTCGTATCTGTAGTAGTCACTACGGTCATCTGGTATTGTAAGCGGCGTTGAATAGCCGCTTGACTTCCGCGATCGGTCCGTCATGCTCGACACTTCCAAAAGCTGTTGTTTGTATGTAGTTAACATCAAGGTCAGTAGTCGGGGTTATTTTTATTCTTATTTTTTATTTCCATTCATGGGGTATATTGTGGAACTTGCCATTTGCCCGTGAGAGGTTGTTGTTTGGCACACACCTGGAGATGTACTGCGGCTGAGGTTTTGATGTCGATGGTCGATGGGGAGGGAGGCGAAGGACGGCGATTGAAAAGGAGACGGAGTTTGGACCGAAGCGGAGCGGCGGTCGATCAAGCTGGGACAATACTCGGATAGAGCTCGACGATATTCCGGGACCGGAGGCCGTAATTTATTAGAAGATATGGGGTGATATTCGTGAACTGGATGGTATTGGGGGACACCTGTTGACGAAGAGTGAGGGTGTAACGGCACTGGGCTGTACTGGGGAGGGAGAGATGGAGATCCAAGGGGTATTGACTGGCATTGTTGTGGGTGCTGCTGCTGCTGCTGTTGATGATAATGATAATAGGGTGCCATAGAGTGGTATTGTTGCGGAGCCTGTCGGAATTCTGGTGGTACGACTTGGTGGTATGGGCCTGGATGATGTTGAAGCGGGATAGGTAGTGGTTGAGGAGCAATGGAGTGATGGCCTTGGTAGGGAGACGGAGAATGAGGGTATCGAGTGACTGGGGCTTGAGCTTGAGCGGCGGTAGGTTGGTGATGGTGGTGATGTAGGACTACTGCGGAATCAAGTCCCGCTGGCGAAGGATTTTCTGGCAACATCATCCCGGCGGAGGACTCCGGTTCGCCCTGGCTTTTGGTCTTGATATCAGGGTCTTTACAAAGTTCCCCAGTCTGATATACCAGGTGTATTAGCTCTATTGATTATTCCTCAACTTCCAACCAATCTGGGCAAATCTACAAAACTTACAAGCTGGCTACGTTTGCTGGATTGACAATTAGGTACTGAGGTAACCTGTCGGGTATAACCACGTTTTTGTAAAGCTCGACGCAGACAGTCCTGCTTGACGTCAAGGCCAAGGGCCTCAATTATCTTCTTATATGACATGCTCCGGTTTTCCTTGGAGGCGGTCAAAAAGGCTTCAATGTCATCGACTTGCTTGCTGGACAGCCTGCTGTTCCGGCCTGGCCGTTTCTTGGGATCACAGGTATTTGATTCACAGGTATATTGAACGGCACGGTGGGATACGTGAAGATGTTCAGCTATAGCTTGATACGTATAACCCAAACGCCGTAGGATTAGGATATCTTTTCGCTCCTCGCGATTAAGGCGGCGTCGATGTGTCTGAGTCCGGGTTTTGGCCGCTGCGGGCGGAACTTGGTAAGGGGATTCCGCACTGATGGAGGGCGGTGCCGCCATGATGGGACGAATTGAAGTTGAAGATGGAGGCATAGGTGTGTTGGAACCGAACTATTATTGAGCCCCCAACTTGAGGCAACACCCGGAGCTGCGGATTTGCCTAGTGGCAGTGCCGTTGTCCATAATAAAAAAATAATAATAGCTTTGGGGCTAAACAAAAACTCCGACAGAGCTGATCGTCGATAGCTCCCATGTTGCTCAGCGAAATGTCCCATCACGTGGGCTTTAGAAAGGCGTTTGGCGCTTCCTTTGCCGCGCTAATGATACGCCATCTGCGGCCGTTTAGGATGACAGGGGGAACTGCCTTGGACACCGTTAGTTACCATACCGTGGGGACGAGCTTGGGAAGCTGGCCCTGGAGTTAAGCTATTTGTCTGCGAACATGGGATATGGAAGACGACGAGATTATTTGATAGGGAAATGCGAATTAGGGCTGCAGGCCTACACGTGATCCTCACCTCCCTCCATCCGGTTTTGATCCTTCGATTGTCCCTAGACAACACCACACAGCAGAAAAGGGGATTACAGCGTGTGTTTTGACCCAGGAAACGTGTTTTGATTCACTGGACAACATTTGTAAGTGCAGGTTCAGTTTATCATTGCATATCTGCAGCTTGCACTGAGAAGCCCCCACCGGTTCTGAGGACCACCTCATAGAGATAGATATCATTCTAACTTGCGTTATGGAGCGTGATTCAATATTGTGGTTCAAGTTTAGCTCCATCACCCGCTTCCAATAAGTACATGTACATGTACAATTACCCGAACCACTTACTTTTCTAAAACATCTCTTTGCTAAAGCAGGGGAGGAACCTAGAAGATGCATCCGCAAAATTGACCTGGTGCATCCCGCCTCGTGGGGAAGCTGTACAACTCTGCCGATCGTCTGGGAGATACTGTGGACACCGAAGTCATACCAAGGTGGATAGACTCCGGGTTAGGATATGCTCCCGTTCCAGCAGCCTGTTCTTGTCTTACTCCGTGGACAGGAGTAATTAACGACCTTGAACGGAGATCGGATGAGAATGCCCTTCCCGATATGTGAGAGCGTGGTCTCAATATGCAACTAGAGCATGAATCTGACAGACTGCAACTGGTGCAACTGTGAGGTTCCTGTTCATGAAATGATAATGGGAGCTCTCAAGCCTATGCCTAAAGATGGCTGGGAACAATCGAGCAGTAGTGACCGAAGATTCAAGGTACGCTGACATCTTAATATGGTTATATCTCCATGGATGCCATGCATTTCAATCGAGATAGGCCTATATGGTGGTTTCTGCTATTGTACAAACACCTACAGAATCGTCAGAACCCGTCTCAGCAGGCTCATTCCTCGGCGTAATTTCCAGAGCTCGGCAGACATGCATCGGCTTGCAAGCCGACCATGTTATTACCTGCATACCTTCATACAAATTAGCATAAACACCAAGTATGTATCACAGTATCAATTCATCTTCGCCAAATCCTTGATTTCACACATCCAACTTGTTTTTTTTTTTTTTTTTTTTTTTTTTTTCCAAATCGCAGGGTATGGAGTCAACTTGTCAATCAATAGTTATTCTAACTTATCCTCCACTTCACCCCCTTGGGGATTAGCATTCGGACGACTTCCACGACCCTCTTATCTAAATACATGGTTGTGTGATACCAATTCCGGAGTCGGGATAACATCGGTGTCACCTATTCGCCACACGGGTGTTGCATCGTTGCCGATCGCAGATTGGAATTTGCAAAATTTTGCATTTGCAGTCGAGTCGCCATGCCCTATTTCCTCTTATATTACTGATCAATTGGTATTGTCCGTTTGGCTTCCAACTGCTGTCACATTTTCGTTACTTAATATTTCTTTGTTTTTATTTATTTTTTCCAATCTTTCTGGTCATATCTTGAGCTGAGGAAGTCCCACTCTTTGCCAATTGTGGGAAAAACTCTGTTTCTCCTCTTGCAGTATCCGTGTCTCGACTTCCCACCTGCTATAGTCTCTCGTCAATCATTATATCGTCTTAGCAAATTCCCTAATTTGGATTCCCAACAAACCTTTCCAAGCTAAGTGGGAGCATCGAGAATGGGAGAGCCGAGAGACCACATATCATTGGCCCAGGATGAGAAGAGGCCGAAGGGTACAGAGGGTAACCCCCCTCCAGGCCTGAATTATGACTCGGATGAGTTAGCAAAGTTGCAGCCCCGCGAGCTGCCTCAGCTCAAGAGGAAGCTGAAGAGCAGACACCTTCAGATGATTGCTATTGGTAAGCCAATTTCTCTATGCTCCCTTGTCAGAATTGCGGATCATTGTTGTTGACCTTGTCTTTTAGGAGGAACGATCGGTACTGGCCTGTTCATTGGTAGCGGGGGTGCAATTTCAAAGACCGGCCCCGCGGGCGCCCTGATCGCGTATGCCTTCGTCGGGTCTATCGTATATTCGGTCATAGTTTCACTTGGAGAAATGGCAACCTATATACCAATAGCTGGCGCCTTTACTTCATACGCTACCCGCTTCGTCGACCCTAGCCTTGGCTTCGCGATGGGTTGGATATACTGGTTTTCATGGCCCATTACTTTCGCCCTCGAATTGACGGCGACAGGCCTCATCATTCAATATTGGAACGATCAAATCCCCATTGGCATCTTCATAGCTGTCTTTTGGGTCTTCATTACGTTAATCAACATGTTGCCCGTCAGCTTCTACGGCGAGATCGAGTTCTGGTTCTCCAGCGTCAAAGTCATCACTGTTATTGGCTTCATGATTTTTGGCATTTGCATCAATGCCGGTGCAGGCCAGCAGGGCTATATAGGATTTAAATACTGGCACAATCCCGGCGCGTTCGCCCCATACCTCCTTGAAGTCATCGGACATGATAAAGTTGCTACCGCTAAATTCATCGGGTTCTGGGCGACTCTTATCCAAGCCGGCTTCTCATATCAGGGCACTGAATTAGTTGGCATCGCGGCTGGAGAGACAGAAAACCCGCGCAAGGCCGTACCGGCAGCAATTAAGAAGACGTTCTACCGCATCCTCTTCCTCTTCGTCCTGACAATCTTCTTTATCGGGATCCTGATACCATTCACAAACCAAGACCTTCTGTCAAAAGCCTCCGACGCTTCCGCGTCCCCGTTTGTTATTGCTGCCAAACTCGCCGGTGTCAATACACTCCCAGGCCTCATCAACGTCGTTCTCCTCACTGTGGTTATCTCCGCTGCTAACTCCAACGTCTACTCCGGTAGTAGAGTACTGCTTGGCCTTGCTCAGGACGGCTGTGCGCCCAAAATTTTCACCAGGACCACTACCGCCGGTGTACCATGGGTAAGCATTTTATTTACAGCCGCCTTTGGCCTGCTAGGCTTCCTCAACGTATCCAACAGCGGCTCTGTGGTTTTCGAATGGCTCATGAACATCAGCAGTATCGCCGGCTTCATCTCATGGTCATGCATTAACGGCTGCCACCTAAGCTTTATGCGGGCGCTGCGGGCGCGGAATATTAGCCGCGACGCACTACCTTACAAAGCACCCTTCCAGCCCTACCTGGCCTGGTACGGCCTCCTCTTCAACATCCTTATCATCATCACCCAAGGGTTTACGGCATTTATACCATGGAATATATTGAATTTTTTCGTCAGTTATATTAGTTTAATTCTGTTCGTGGTGTTGTATGCGGGGCATAGGATTGTGTACCGCCCGAGCTTTGTCCAGCCGTTGGAGGCGGACTTAGATACGGGCCGGCTGTTGGCTGATGCGGAAACTTGGGAGACTACTAGAGTCCCGACGACGGCGTGGGAACGTGTTCAGCATCGGATGCATCTTATGTTTTGGTAATAGTAGGGGTGATGCTCCTATCTATCCAGGCGTCTCTTTTTCTGCTTCTATATTTGCCATCTTCCCCTCTGTTTGTTCGCTGCTCATATGTATATTGTACTTATCTTGTATTTCTATCAACTTCCTTTTCCGTTGATTGATTGAGGATTCGATGGATTGAGAACCTGTGGATTCAACCAGTTTATGTGATACATTAAAAGATTTTATGATCGTGTGGTAGTCAGGGCGGAGCGGCTGAACAGGTGGCCCTGTAGGCCCGCTGACTTTTCCCTTTTTTTTTTTTTTTTTTTTTTTTTTTTTTTTTTTTTTTTTTTTTGTTTCTGTTGTTCACTGCACCTGTTTTTCAAGCGAAGCGTTGAAACGTACATTGTACATGTACAATTGTTCATCTGTATACCTCGACTGTTTGCCATGGATTTTTATGTGTCGTCTACTTACATTTATGCACCGCCTAGGACCTTCATCTCCTTATCTGATGCTAGTAGAGTCAGGCTAGGAATATACAGAGGAAATGGACAGACGTCGTTTTACTTGTACAGAACATTTAGAGAAGAAAGTGATGCCTCCACAATAATATGTCCAGTGAATACATCAGAGCTGTTGCCATCTGTATATTTGACATCAGAAAAGCATTGAGTCGTTCAACGCGCCAGTGAGATGCTAAGAAGCGGAGAAACGATCAATATATTGAGAAATGATAGTGAAGTTACAAAAAGGAAATTAGAATCTTGTTACATGCTTGTTTGTTCAATAATAGAAGAAGGATTTCATCGCATCCGCCTTAAATGCACGAGTGCTTTTACTATCTATCAACCCTCGTCACTCCTCTTTAGCTTCTCAACCCAAGCAGGAGGCCAGTGCTCTTGCCGCCCTCCTTCCCCTCACCACCACCCGGAAGATATGTAACGTTGGGATTTGTGGCAAGCGTCTGTGCAATCTCCCGGCTAGCATCGATTCTTCGGATCTGAATCAAGCCATCACCAGCCTTCATAACAGCCTTGCTAATGATCTCAGCACTCTCGGCCTCTCCCTCCGCACGGATGACATTGGCCTGTCGCTCCTGCTCGGCCTTCTCGACAATGAATCTCGCCCGCTCGGCGTCCTGTTGGGCGATCTGCTTCTGCTCGACGGCACGGGTGAATTCGCGACCGAAAGTCATGTGAGTTATGGAGACGTCTTCGAGAGCAATGTTAAACTCCATGGCGCGGCGCATAAGGTCGTTGCGGATTCTGTTGGAGACGGCTTCACGCTGGGTGATAAGTTCCGCAGCATCGAATTGGGCGACGATGGACTTTAGGACTTCGTTGCCGATGGAGGGGAGAACTCTTTCATCGTAGTCTTGGCCGAGGGACTACATGGATGGTATGGTTAGCTTCATACATATATTATAGACGAAAGGAGTGTTAAAATGCGAATGCACATACCTGATAGATCTTTGGCAATTGCTGCACTTCGGGGCGATGCAAGACTCGTAGGGTCAAGCTGACCATCTGCAAGTCCTTACTTCCGGTGGTCGTTGAGATGTTCCTAGGTTTCGTTCTGACATCGTAGATAATGCTCTTCTGCAACCAGGGGATGAGGAAGTGAGTGCCCTCATTGACAACCTTTTCCTGCACTCCCGTGAGCCTGTCGAAGATGACTGCCCGGGTTCCTCCCTTGACATCGTACAGAGATGCCTGGACGAAGGACGCCCCGATGGCTACGGGGACACCCCATTTGTAAATTGCCGTAAGAGCATTCGCCATTTTGAAAAAGCCGGGGATGGATGCTGAAAAACGTTGCTCTTGGAGTTCTGGGGGGATATCAACAGCATTGAATTGGTTTACGAAGCTTGTTCAAGATGCTGCTTTTTATGGCGCTAGGCTGCATCGGGACTAGTGTCGGATGATGTTGGAGGCTCAACTTCCAACACTCAACTTTTGCGACATCACGCATATCCATAACCCATACACATACACACATACGCACTATTGTTGCATAGGCAGCCTTTCTGTCTATTGTTGGAAAGAATCAAGTCAATCGTCTACGAATTCCTCTCGTCGTTTATCCGGCACAATGGGCGGCGGACACCCAGATCCCAAGCGCGGAATGTAAGGCCCTCTCCCCGGCTGACCATGCATTGAATCAATTCGAGGCATACCGCCGTTCACATCATGAAGAATTGAAGCAATAGACGGAGACTGACAATTTGGCAGCTATATCGGAACCTTTGGAAACTTCGGTACGTTTTGAGGCCTATCCCATTGCCACAACTTGAGCGACTCCAATCGCCATCGCCCCGCCACACCTAATAACGGGGTTGTTCGATTATCCCTCCGCCTCTATCCAATCCACAGCAGCACATGTCATGCTAATGGTTACCTCATGCTGAGTACTAAATAGGTTGCCCGACCCCTCAAAAGATCTCGACCTACGCTCTGTCCCCCAACCGACAACGCCCCTTCGCCGGTGCTCTCTACAACGCCATTTTCAACACATGGAGAAGAACCCGCAACCAAGCGCTTTATGTTATTCCCCCGTTCGTCGCCGCGTATGCGATAATTAACTGGGCTCAAGAGAGGTTTGTGTTCTGGTCCACACGGCTTTCTGTGATGTGCATTGTTGTACCTATCTTGCGTGTTATGTGCTTGTGGTGTAGTTGCCAACTAACATATACTTGCCTCCAGGAACGAATATTTGAACTCCAAGCCCGGACGATTGGCGGAGGGTGGAGATGATGAGTAAAGATGATGATTATTTGTTGGATATAGCTTTGCAAAGCTGGTAGAGGGCCTCAGCCAGTCATTGCGCTGTACAGTACATATATTATTAGAAAGAAATCGACGTTTCTAAAATTTCATTTTCTATATAAAAGATGATATTTTTTTTATTTGTTTTCCATTCCCCTCTTGTCTCCACCTTTCTCGGTAGAGTAAACGAGAGGAATTGAAAGAAGCCTCATCACCTCACTTGCACATGAGATTAACTATCCCACAGATTATGGCCCAGCGGAACACATTTTCTTTTTGAGAAGAACTAAACTGCTAAATAGATTTGAATAATATCATCTTATCAATAGCAGGACAGAGAACATCTATTGTTTTGAATCTTGCTAAGTAGATTATCTCCTTATTTGGCCGCGAGGCCACAATTAGCGCAATATCATTAGTGAAACAACTAAGCTATTACTCATGCCTTTGCTTCTCTATATCTGTGATTGATGTGTACAGTCTATAGCGACATTTGAGTTAAATGAGTATTTTTGATGTTTTTAAATATTCATTCAATTTGTAATTATATTCTTTAACTCACACTATAACTATATATGCTGCTAAAATGTAAGAAACTCTGCTTTTCATAAACCTGTTTTATTTTTATTTTTATTACTCACAAACATCAAACGCTCGCTTACGCTCGCTTTGCCCCTACCACTTCCACTCCATGCCTACCCCTACCCCCCTTACCACCCCTTCCACCCCTTCCACCCCCTACCCCCTCTACCACCACCACCACCTCTACCGCCCCTACCACCCTCTTCCACCCCTTCCACCCTCTACCCCCTCTACTGCCTCTATCACCCTCTCCCCCTACCACTCCCTTCCACCCCGTATCACCCCTATCACCATTATCAGATTAATCAGAGCCATACAGGCTGCAGAGCCAGCTGTTCAATCCCATCCATGAATTCAAAGAGGTGCACATGACATCACATGAGATTATGTTACAGGGCATTTAGCAGTGTATGCCATGAACACAGCACAGAGATCAAAAATGAACATAGAGAAGAGTATAAGGAATGTAAATACTTGTAGAGAATGTATGAAAAGAGCAGAATGAAAAAAAGAATGAAGATTTGAAGATTGATCTGAGCTGTATGGGCCGGAAAGCACGTCACATTACAGCGTTTTTTGCATGGAAAAGTTGGTTCTTCTATAATAAATAGAGAGAAGAGAGAAAATAGAGAGGTTAGTTACACCACTCGGCCAATTTTTTGGCCACTCAGAGCATCTCATTTTCGTCGCTGTTTTAAGCTCAATGCCGTTCACGTGACGTGAAACCTTCTTGGAGGATAACGTTGTTGTGTTGTGTTGTAATCTAACTACGCGAGTTACACTAAATGGATAGGTTGGGGTGGCACGTGACTAGGGTAGGTGTAGTAATCACCAACACCCCCCCTTGCTACGCCGTGGCCTATAATAAGCCGCCACCCGGGGCCTCCCCCATCCTCAAATCTTTCAAAAATGCAATAATAATTAATTACATGAATCAGACCCTGATTTCCTCATTAGGAAAGGTGTCTGTACAGCAATAACTGTAAAAATCAAGAAATATATGCAAAATTCATTGATCTGCTGTATCATCATTATCATTCAATCATTCCTTCTTCTCAATTTTATGAATGTCAATTCTCTTAACAAATTCTTCAAATACAGGCTTCACCAGTGACTTGGTGAGTCTGTCAGCTATGTTCACTGTAGAATCAATATATTCTATCATGATTTCCTCTTTTTCAATCAAATTGTGAAGAATATGATATCTAATCTTGATATAATGTGATCTTTATGTTAAGGATTTTCTCTTTACTAGATTGATTGCTCTCTTATTATCAACTTATAGATGTGAGCATATTTTCACTTTTTCATCATTCATTAACCTGGTATTATATAATATATCATTCAATCAGATTATCTCACAAGCTGTCTCACTAGCTGTAATATACTCAGCTTCTGTAATTGATTTGATGATAAATGTCTGTCTCTGTGACTGTTATGAGATTGATGACTCATTAATCAATATAATATAGTTAGTAGTTAATTTGTATTAAGAATTCACCTCTGCTCAGTCTGAATTGCAGTATATCACAGAACTCAGACTCTTATCACTGATCTTCTTTCTGTATAATATATCATGATTTTTCATCTTCTTGACATAATGTAGAACATGCTTCAACACTGCTCAACATACTTTGTATAAACATGAGTTAAAATGTGAGAGATAGTTGATGATGAATGCTAGATCTGACTGACTGCTTAAGATTAAATATTGCAATGATCTTAATTCTTGATGATATCTTGTAGCTGTAAAGTCATCATTCAATTTCCTTCTCTCATCAGGTGAGAATTTCAGTTGTATACTGACTATTATCAGAGTATCAGCTGAATTTATCTTATTCATGTCAAAGTCTTTAAGAATCTCTTTAATATAACAGCTCTGTGTAACTGCTAGATTGTCATTTCTCTGACATTTAATCTTCATCTCAAGATATGACTTGATCTCTTTGACATTCTTTATCTCAAATCTCTTTACAATGTCTCTTAATACTCAGTCTAATTGCTGTTCTTGAGGTTCTGTCACTTGACAATCATTAACATGCAATGTCAGATAAATCTTGTGAACAGAGTGATATAGAAATTCACTGTTATAAGGTGATATCTTATCAGGAAAAAGAGGTTATACACTACTGAACACTATTAACATTGTATTACTACAATATTTCTCATTATTATCAGCTTACTACAATACTTATCTAATACTCACTTATACTAGCTCTCTTGACTTGCATATATATTTTACTATAAATAGCTCTATCTTTTGTATGAAATAGATATATTAAAAGAGGCATGAATAATATAACAAGCAGATCTTTATACATATAAGATTTATATGTCTTCAACATATTTATTCATGAGACTCATTTCAATAGTTATAAGCCCGGTAAGCAGCATCTGAAGAGAAGTGTGATACATCAATCTCAATTCTCATTTAAATTTGACAACAATCATTCAAACTGAGATGATTGATTCTCATTTGTATATAATCTGATCTACTCAACTATTATACCTGATTTCTGATAAGCAGCATCTGAAGAGAAGTGTGATACACTGATCTCAATTCTCATTTGAACTGATAACTATTATTTGAACTGAGATGATAGATTCTCACTTATATATATTCTGATAAACTCAATCATTATACACTCTGAATTCTAATCATATAAATACTTGAATCAATTCCTCAATTCATTTAATATAACTGATATGACAGATAAAACAATGTCTAGTGCAACTGTACACCTTAGTGTTTCTGAAGATTGAAAACTTTGATACAAGTATATACTAGAATATGCAAAGAACAAGAAGATATCAGACTTTATCAATCTTGACAAACCTGATATCTTCTCTGAACTAGAAGAACCTCTGAAACCTGAGTGTTCAGAAGAAGTCATCACAGAGGTCAAGATAGCATATGATATCAAGATCACTGTGTGAAAAATCAAATATATAAAATATAAGAAATTGAATGAAGAAATGACAAAGATATGAGATATCATATAAAGAACAGTGAATATCACAGAACTATAACATATACACAGCAAGAATGATGATATGAAAGAGATTATCTATTCATTAAGAGATTGTCTCTCACTCATGACTGTGAACTATCAAGATAATGTGAGAACCTGATATCATAATCTCTGCAAAGCACTGAAAAACAAAGATATAGAGAAGTGATTAAATAACTGATCTCTCATTGAAGATGATATCAAAGAGATAAATATAGCTGAACAGTTCAACTTGAAGAAAGATTTCTTAAATGTGAATCTAACTATTGATGCAGGTTATACACAAGCATGAGCTAAGAATGTCTGACATGATAAAGATATTATATCTTTGATAGAGTTAGTTAAGAACTTCAAGAAATGATATAGAGAAATGAGTATTCTCAAAGAAGATAAACCTATGAACTTCACTACTCTTAATGAAAGACCTCAGTAATTTTCATTATCAGTAACATTCAGAAACTGCATCTGCAGAGCCTGTCACTGATACACTCAGTGCTACTATCTCAATTCATCAAGGAAGTTATCTGAATGAAAGAGAAATGAGAAGAAGAGAACTCAGATCAATCAAGCTCTTAAGAATCAAGAATTGAAGAGATGTATTGATTGTGTGATATCTAGAGATTTATTCATGAATATGAATATAATAGATATTAATGAAGCAGTTCTAGAAGAAATGATTCTGAAGCAATCAGTTTCTCAATCTATCAATCATTAATCTATTGATCATTAATTCTTTGATCATCAATTCTTCAATTATCAATCTATCAATTATCAATTCTTCAATCATCAATTCTTCAATTATTAATCTATTAATTATAAATCTATTGATGATTAATCTATCAATCATCAATCTATCAATCAGTAAATCCGAAAAATATCAAAGAACTTCTTAAATTCTCACTTCTATCTCTGAAACTTCTGGATCTTTGATACTGGCGTGGAACAGCATATATGCAATAATCAATCACAATTTCTATTCTTTACACCTGTGAATGAGAATGCGGAAGTTTATACAGGTGATTCCAGTACTAAAGTTGAAGATTATAGAACTGTTAGAACAATCATGATAAATGAAGCAGAAAAGCAGTTCAATGTCAACCTCATCAACACGGCTTACATCCCGAATTTCCATACAAATATCATTGCATGAAAACCGTGTTTTCATATAGAAGGCATCTATTATGATGAAAAAGACTTCAGATTGCAAAAACATGCAGATAATACAATCTTTACACATGTTGAAGTATTTGAGAAGTTGCTAGTTACAGAATATAGTGATATAACTGTTTTCTCAACTATATTGGAAAAATCCACTATCAAAGCTGATGCAGCTATCACATCTCACACTTCTAACATTACTATATCTGAAAAAAATCAAGATCTCATGAACAACCGCTCCACCACGAACTCGCTCGATTTTTCGAATAAGAACCCGCCGATAGATCCATCGAAAAGCCCTCGATCATATGAGCATTCTGACCCCATCGCCGACCGCATACCCTGTGTGGTGGTGGAGTTATCCAGCCAAATGTGAACCGGACGTTGTTCAAAACTCCTGTGTGGGATTATCCCCCATTCTCCCCTATCACACCACAACCCCGGGCCAAAGTGCCATACAAATTGTAAGGTGAAGAGACCTAGTCATATGCACCAATCTTCTCGATTTTGGAAGATCCCCGACCTGTAGTTGTGGAGATATCTGAGGAGCAACCTCCGCGAAAACCCTGTCCATCTTTGATGTTTCAAAACACCAACACCAAGTCTCACCCTTGTATCGCCCTTCTCAATCTGGCCCATCCCC